AAATCAAGAAAAAGCATTTGTAACATATTTTTTTCCTACAAAATCAAATATCTCTGAGTGTTTCATAATTTTTCTTAAAACTACATTAAAACATCTTTCATTTGAAGGGTCAATCGTAAAAATCGGTCAAGAGGTTCAGAAGTTATAAATTTTTGAAAAAATACATTTTTGAAAAAAAATGATTTTTTGGACCACCCTAACACGGAAATGGTCACCCTAATGGCGCAATAAAAAAATACGAGTCTAATATTTTTTGATAAGGAAGAACTATACCAATTTTCATGAAATTCTGAGACCCACTATAACTTTTTTCTATGGAATTGCTGATTATTATTATTATTATTATTATTATTATTATTATTATTATTATAATTATTTCAATCCTGTCTCTACAATTCCTCCTGCCTCTACTCTCTAATGCTAATCAAAAACCATATCTTTTAGCTTATTTGGCATTATTCTTTCGCGCATAGGGCGTGATCTGATCAGCTATTCATGGCTAGATTGGTTCCACATTCGTTGTAGGTACAAAACTTCATCGATTCCAGAGAATTTTGTTTCTTGGTAGCACATCTCTGGATCTTTCAGTGGTTTCTTCGAAAATAAAATCTTTTATTAATAACTCATTCAAAGCAAATGTTTTTTTATTTTTATTTTTATTTTTCATTGCAATTTGTCTTACTTATACTTTCTAATCATAAATGTTAAACAAAACCATATTTTCAGCTTATCCGGCATTCTTCTTTCACGTCTAGGGCACGATCTGGTTAGATCTTCATGGCTAGATCGGTTCGGCATTCGTTGTTTGTGCAAAGATTCATCAGTTCCAGGTTCACTTGATTCAGTCGTATTTTTGTGAACGTTTTGGTAGTGCATCTCTGTATCTTGCAGTGGTTCATCGGCTATGAGAGCTTGTGTGCTAACCAGAATATCACCATAATTCTGTGGTTTCCATACGTCAGCTTTATTATAGTCCTCAATAGCTCTTTTGGCGTCTGCTATGTTTCTCGACACCACGATCACTTTTGACGATTAATTTTGCCCCATCTTTGGCTATTACCGAAGACAACAAATCAAGACAAATGGCGCTGCGCTTGAGTGAAGGTGGAAGCAACGCATAGAAAAATGAGTAAATACACAAACCCTTCTTCAGAGGATGTAATCTTTGTTATCAAATTCGTTCGAAGCATTTACCATTGAGCGGCAGATGACGCGATTTTACCTGCCTCATAGCGTTCGTATGAGAAAATGGAAGAGTTGCCAGTCTTCTTGATTTGTTGTCTTCGCCATAAGGTTAAGACGGAGATATATTATAGAAATGATCGTCTTGATGGACCCTGTGGTGGCGTTGCATTGTTCATAGACGAATCAAACATAAAATTCTTTTTTCATTTGAAACCAAAGTTTTGGAAACTTTGGGAGTTTCTGTTGAAACAAAATTTGGACAACTTACGATAAAAAAAAGAAAACTTACGTTTATAGTTAGCCGCCTATTTCCTATTCCAATGCGTAGGCCAGCAAAAGAATTTTCTCAAGGATGGATTTTAATGCAAAACATCACTCATGGAATAATGCTCAAAGCATTTCCAATGGTAATATTCTGTTTGATGATTGTTCTGCAGGTTATTACACTATTCAATATCCAAACAGCCCAACATGCTTTTCTTCAGCAAAAAGTCCATCAACTATTGATTTGGTCTTAACTGATTCATGTCAACTTTGTAGCCAATTGGTTACCCATGCTGACTTCGGTTCTGATCACCTTCCAGTAACTTTTGAAATATCCCAAGAAATAATTTGTAATCCCAACAGCTCAACTTTCAATTACCATAGAGCTGATTGGGAGCAATATCTAACATTTATGGAATATTGCTTCGATCCAAACTTTTCTTTGAATCCAAAGATGATGTTAATTATGCTCTTGAATCTCTGACTACTTCTATAGTTGAAGCAAGAGCTGTCTCAGTACCAAAATGGAAGGTTAAATTCGATTCAATTATAATAGACGACGATCTTCAGCTCTTGATCCGTCTTAAAAATGTCCGTAGGAGACAATATCAAAGAACACGCGATCCTGCCATGAAAGTTATCTGGCGGGATTTGCAAAAACAAATTAAAAAGCGATTATCTGCCCTGAGGAAATAATGTTTCTAAGTTACACCAGAGTTCCAAACCTTTTTGGAAACTCTCAAAAAAATTGAAAAAAAACCTCAAAAGCCTATTCCAGCGCTTACAGAAGGTGGTAAAAATTTGATCACAAATTTGGAAAAATCTCAGAAACTTGCTAAGCAATTCGAGAGCTCCCATAATTTCAGTTTGGGTCTTACCAGTCCTATTGAGAATCAGGTTGCTCGGGATCATCTGAATATTTTTTTAAACCTGTTTAAAATACTGAATTGCCAAGGCAGGAACGATGTAAAAACACTTAGATATATATCATAACAATTAAGGCTGGTAAGTTACTGTAGGAACTCGAGCACCTAGGTTAAAATTAAATGTAATTTATTTTGATTTTGGAACAAATAAAGAGTTAAAAAAAGACAAAATACATGAAAGGAAGAGGTTTCAGGGAAGACAATGTTAGCCTCCCACCCTGAGTTCAGATTGACGGTGACGAAATCGAGGTGGTCGATGAGTTCGTGTATTTGGGCTCACTGGTGACCGCCGAAAATGATACCAGCAGAGACATTCAAAGACGCATTATGGCAGGGAATCGTGCCTACTTTGGAGGACGATCCGGTCGAATAAAATTCACTGCCGCACGAAGTTGACTGTCTACAAGACGCTGATTAGACCGGTGGTGCTTTACGGCAACGAGACCTGAACTATGCTCGTGGGGGACCAACGCGCCGAGTTACTGGTTGGCTGGAAACATAGAGGAATTTTTCGTGGCCTATGGAAAACTAATGATCAGTCAAAAGTCGATCATGAAGATGTCAGAGAAAAAGACGGATTTTCCAAGCTTGATAGTAAGAATCATGTGGATTTTCGAAGAGGAGATAAACATTCTGATCTCACCGTTGGAGACAGAGTGGTCCTAGCACAATCTTAACGAATCAAATCAGATCCTACTTTTAACGGTGCCAGTGGTGTAGTGGTAAGCGTGATTACCTCTCACCCCAGCAGGCCTGGGTTCAATTCCAATCGGCGCCGCCGGGATGTTCTGAGGCATAACATAACATCTCTGATAAATTACGTTCACTGGAAAACAATAACAGGTTCTGCCCGCATTAGTTCGTCATGCATAAGAGATGCAGATTTGAGTGTTTTGACAAAAGTTGTAAATAATATCATAACCTACAAAAGCTTTACACTTCTTTGCACGGAACTCTGTTTAAGAAAAAAGTTAGGAGCAAATGAATGTAAATAAATGCACGGAATTAATGTAAATGCAACTTTTGATTTTATAAGCCTAAAAAACAAGATGCCAAGATGCAACAATGCATTTTCTGCTAATTCAAGAGGAATTAAATCATTTGAAAAGTGTTTGCTTAATATTTAAACAGCATGTTAATGAGATAAAAAAAAGGAGACTAACCTTTTCATTGAACTTCCAAACTAAGAAAATCAAAGATTTTCATCAAAAACTCCAGCGGAAATCCTCCTAAAATTATATTCTTAATGTAATTGCTCAAATCCCGGATAATGAATCTAAAACTTTCATAAAATCTAAAAAAGCATAGATTTTGGCATGTTTTGGTTAATTTCAAGTTTAAATATGCAAATCTACTTTAGTTTAGGAGAGTAACCTATGAAAAATTCCTCAATTATTCCGGCATAAGCCCCATATTGTAACTATAGGTACACCAATATTACTGGACCACCTACATTAAATATTAATAATTCAAAGGATTGATTATCTTAAGACATGGGGGCTTATTACGGATGTCACTTCACGGTGAAAAGTTGTCACTTTTCGTCACGGTGTAGTGATTCCCATTTGATTTGTACGGTAATCACGGCTTTTATTCTGAGTATAACTTCCTTATCACCGTGTAGTGACACCCGTAATAAGGCCCATGATCAAGCAGTTGCTATGTGGAAAACACTGTATTTTTCATGATGTCGCATCAAGGATTCCCGATTGTTGGACGTGTCTTGATTTTTAATGACCGGGGGTATCTTTGATAATGCGAGTAACTTTGGTAGTAGGATATAATGATTAAATTTACTATCTGCATTATTTCTGAATTGAAGACATTGGTTTCATTTTATAGCTTAGGGGATTACCTTTGATATTATTTGGAGTTTTTAGTATGATTTACATATTTTCCAAATAGGTATCCGAAAAAAAAATATTTTTATTTTTCCTCTTATTGAAAAACACTCAAACAATTAATTATTTAATGTATTTCCGATACAGCCATCACAAATTCAATGTTGTATTCTTATTTCTTATGATGTTTCTGATTATATACTCATTCAAAGTTTGCTATTTCTTGAACTAACTTATGTGAGATTCACGCATGTTTTTCTACATTCATCGAGTATTATCAAAGTAACACTAAAACAAAAAACGGATGTTCGGTCACCACAAGACAAAAAAAATAGAGCAAATGCAATAATTTCCGTTGAACATATTACTAAAGAATTAACTCTAGGATCCTCAATACTTGTTTCATAAAAATAATATTTGAAAAATATTAATTGATGCAAAAAATATTTAGCATGTGCTTCAAAAAATTATCATTGTAACCCCGTTCTACGGTATTTCAAATGTTATTAATAAACTTTTGTAAATTTGAAGACATGTTTCAAACATAATGAAATCTGTTTAAGATATAAGAAACGAAACTATTGTTGTCTTAACATATTTTCAACTTGACGTTTTTCGATTCACACCTATTCACACATAGGTGTAATCTAGAACTTTGAAACTCACCCTCCGGCAAGTTAGGGTAGGGACATAACAACCATGAAGACCATATTTGATCACATTGATTTTGTTAACATTTGTCGAAAAAAACACGTATCTGCATAACCGTCTGTTTCATCCGCAGAAGTTGGCCGGCAGCAAAAAAAGTCCCTGGTTCCTGGAATCGTGGAGCTCACGGGAAACGAAGCATGATAGCAGCCTTGATTACGAGGATGCCAAGGATCTGCCAATCGAGCTAAGACGTCTGGAGGACTTCGACGACATACCGGAGCCGCCGCTGTCTGCTGGCCTGAAAAGCCGGAGCTTAGGTAGTATATTAAATCCACCACCAAAAACCATAGTTAGATCACGTTCAAGTGTACCAAGTTTAGGTGCTCAAATACCTGAATCGAAAGCGGCGCCCGCTGAGCCGTCAGCATCCCGAAGACCAAAACTAGTTAAACAGAAACAATCATTATGTGATGACGTAGATTACAAGCTGTGCGAATCGGCGCAGGCCTACCGGGATCACATTATACGTAACGACTCACGTATTCAGCTGCTTAGAAAGCAAAGCTCACTAAACGAAGAACTGATGGCCGAGAGCCGGTTGCGTGAAAAAGACCGAATCAGAAAACGGATACAAAAGCAGATGTCTCTGAATGAATCATTCCTTTGCCGGTCACTGTTTACCAAACGGTTACAGGTGATCAAAGAAGGATTGACTACAAAACTGAAGACATCTACCGGCAGCCTAGAGCGTGTAACGAAGAACGGGTTCGTTAAGATAATGCAAAACATTAAAGCAACCACCCATCATGGTCACAACTACGCGCAAGGCCGGTCATACGATCCGCACAATCCCGGTTATATGCCCCACAGTCATGATGGCCGAAACGGAAGCCACCATGTTTCCAGGAGCAATTCCATCAACAATAATGGCGGCAGCAATGGCAGCGGCAGCAGTAACGGTAACGACAAGCTTGTAGGGATAGGCACCAACCAAGATGACTCTAAACCTCGCCGCCACTCGAGAGAAAGTGGTTCCGGTAAGTTGACCTGTAAATTCCAAAATGTCTACTTTATTTTCTCGTATACTCTTTTCAAAACGGGTTTTCTTCTTTTTTTTCTCTCTATATTTCAAAATCAAAAAAAATCAACTTTCTTCTCTTTACGAACATTTTCCACTGCCACACCATCCATCCCTCTGCTATTGGTAATGATCATCTGTTTCATTTCTACAGAAAGTTTTCGTTCCACTTTCATTAAACGTCAACGTTTTGCGGGTACCTATTCCGTACATTATTTTACTTATAATACTAGATGGTTCTAATAGCTTGGTTCTCAAAAAAGTTCCTATCTATTGTCATTGTATAGATTAGAGAGTGTGAGTGACGTAAAGATAGTCTGTATTATTGCAATAAATGCCTCAGAGTAATATAAATAAATTGATTAAAAAAAAACGTATATTGTAGAAATAAACATTATATGCCAATCTAAATACATATAAATAAACAAATCGCATGGTAGATTAGATGATCAAATTAAGTAAGCCTTCTAGTAGAAATCATGATGTTCAAAAATTGTGTTTGAAATATTTTGAACGGTTTAAAAATTTTAAAAAAATAATTCCTTTGGATGCGAACTCATAGTGCACATGTCATTTGAAGTTTATATGGGAATTACTGTAGGAAAAGTGAACTTTTTGTTCACAACACTGTAGTGATTTACGGAAAAATTTGCTATCTGATCTATTGGGGAATGTTATCAGCTACAACTTTGCTGAAGACCACTTTTTGATTTTGATGTCGATTATATTGAAGGTTATTAGTTATGAATTGATCTCAAAGCCGACAACTTTCTGATATGATTAATCGATTACTTTCAGGGAAACTCTTCATCTTGCACTTATAACATAGTAGCTTGGATGTGATGCCCTATTTTTCGCACCAAGTACACCGATGTTGCCTGCTGAGCAGTTGATGGAGCATGTTATAAGATCAGCATACTCATTATTAATTAATAACTAATTTGCCTGACGTTCAATCAAAAACTGGTCTGGCGAAACTGCACATTAGTACACATAGCAAACTTACCCATAGATCATTACAGCAAAAGGCTAGAACGATAAGAACAAAAAGTTCACTTTTCCCATGATAATTCCCATACAAACTTCAAAGGAACAGTGCACTATGAGTTCACATCCAAATGAGCTCAAATTTTGGGAGAATCATCATCCGATTTGAAATCGATTGAGCTTGGTGGAACAAAATCGATATTTTGAACCACCCTATTAACTATTCATTGGAGTCAAAGTCAGGCAACAATTTGATCGATTTTGATATTTATACACACCTGAATAAAATAAACAATAAGCTTATAGAATGATTTTGAAGGAACAGACAAAATTTTTATGCTTTTAAATAGGATTATTCGTGCTCCCCTCTCCCCAAAAATCAAAATTGAAGGGATTGGTCTCTAATTTTAATTTTTAAGACCTGGTACTCGTACTTGAATATTTTTTTAGGTTGTGGACTTATTATTGCATTTTTAATTCCAAACTTCTAAAGTTCATTTGAATTCCTGTGAATTCAGGAGACAAACATATTTTAAAGATTCTACGCATCTCCAGTATCGTTAGGTCCAACATGAAAGACTTGCATCCTGGTTGGCTGCTTGCTTTTGCATCGACCTGCAGTGTGATTAAACTACGGATATTTGCTCACGAAAAAATGTGTCCCCCATTTTTGGGGATTTGCTCGAAACTTTTTTTCCACGTTTCGCCCTCCTTTCCGGTTTTCTCCGTTGTTCCCCAAGGAAGTCACTTTGGGGCCGTTTCTATTCTTGCTATATATGAACGATGTCAGTCTCACCTTGAAATGTCTAAAACTCTCCATCTCCTATGTCGAACCTGAAGTTTTACTACACGATTAAGCAACCACAAGACGCACTTTTTTTTAGCAAAAACAACTGGAATGGTGTCATCTTAATTGAATGTCACTCAATGTTTCCAAATTCGGTTATTTCATTTGGCTGCATGTACTCACTCTTTCATATTAGCTATGCTTTGGGATAAAAAAAGTGGAGTATTTGTCTGCCGTCTGGTCTCCTTATTACCAGAATGAAATTCAACGTATTCAGGCTATTCATCCGGTTTGCTCTACGTCATCTTAAGCGGAGAGATCCATTCAATTGACCAAGTTATGAAAGCCGTTGTTTGCTTATAAACCTGGAATTAATAGAAGCGAAACGCAACTTGGCAAAAGCGTGCCTTTATTGGAGATCTCCTGCAAGGAAACATTGACAGTTTTACGCTTCTTATTCTCTTGGACATCGAGACATCAATCTCTGTTCTGGACCTTACACCACTTCGACCAGTAATTTGATCTATTGTAGTATATCCCGTGTCCTTAGTTTAGTGCATGTCGTATTACTCCATCACTACTGAGAAATGATGAAGTATTCGATTTTTTTTACAGTTTTCATTCTTGCATTTATCGCTAGGATTTGAGTATTGAAACACCCTCCAAAGGCGCGCCCCTTTGTCAGTCAAAACTGGATTTCTTAGCCACAAAATTTAGGAATGACACCGATAATGACCATGCATCAGAACCCTAGTCTTAACCAGTTCAACCTAGGGAACAACGAATAGAAGATTAGGAATCACATAGATGAAGACTAACTAACTCATTTTTTTCCTTGTTTCAAGATCATCCTTGGTGGACAAAGCCGAGTCTTGTCACTATTAACATGGCATAAAAAGTAACAAGGACTAACATGTGTTCCTTTGATTACTGAAAAATCCTGTTCCCCTAGTTTGAAGTAGTGAGGACTATTAATCGGTGGTAGATCTTACATCCCGTAACGTACCTCGAAAAGGTGATCTACCCACGTTACAGGGCAATTATGGCTTACACGAACCATTGCGAAGTCGGTTACTATGTGTACGATTTCAATTTGTCACGAGAAACAAATAAACGCAGAAAGTCGATGAAGAGAATCGATCAAAGTCACTTACACCCCTTTCCTTCTTAACCCCTCAATGTTGCAACTGGCTTCTTTTTGTCTGTGATGTTTTCTTCTTTTCTCGCGTAAACGACCGTGCAAAAACTAGTTCATTATGGGCGACGCAGTCGACTGTCAAAATACAAGAAAATAGATTCCCAGTTTTAAAAATTCTCGCGTTTCTATACGTTCACCAGACCAATCAGGCGCTGGTTCACGTTTGACAGAAAATTGGTGTATAAAATCCCCCTATTGTCTCCTCTTCCTCTTAGGCTTGATCGGAGTTGGATAAGGATAATGATATATTGCTTGCCTGCTTTGTTGCAATATTGAGTTCTCCAAGCAGGATCTCACGAACACTAATCTAATAATATAATTTTACACACACTAGCGTATACTGCCATGTACACGGTAATAATCAAACATAAAAGTGGCACTACTAAATAATGAGTAATTTATTATGCCAATTAAGTAGTAACTGTTAGCTACTGTTAGCAGAAACTCATTGTTGTTAAAATAATTTAGTCATAAAAGAGTAAAGCCACTTTTATTAAAAATGGGTTAACTTTTACTCATAACTTGACTGTTACAGTGCAAGCGTAGGGTTTGTTTTCATTTTGTTGTTTATTTTTACTTTAGAATGACAGTTCTTACAGCAAACAAAAAAATTCTCACAGCTAACAAAAAATTTCATCTCACTAACACACGCAAATCGCACCAATACGAACCCAAGAGAGGACTGTACACGGTTGCGGATCGGAATCGAGAAAAGACATAACAAAAAATCCCATGTATCATTTTCGGTGTTACGTCGTGAAGTAGCTTGCCAACAATTTGGTTGGCTTTCAATTTTGTCATTTTGAGATATTTTTGAGTCCTTGAGAACAAGTATCACTGTATCATTTTACCTGTTGACTAATAAACAATAAACAATAATAAGATCACTTTTAAAACATTGTTTAGTTCAAAAAATACTTTCAAAAATTAGCTATTTTTTGCATTAAGGCTAGCACTAAGCATTATCTCATTTGACGTTGGAAAAAGTAAAAAGAGGGTGTACACATTTTTCGTGAATAGATCTACAGATTGTTACCAACACTGTTGACCTGGGCCCAGATAAGATTTCGGTTGACTATCTTGATTTCCTTGTTGAGTCTCCGTAGCCATGATCCCCTGATGTGATGTCCAGCTGGGTTCTAATGCAGCTCTTACAGACTTCGATTCCGCCCTTCGTATATGCTACATGAAAACTATCTAGGTCGGCAAAAAATAAAAATGTGTAAACATTCATTTACGTGAATCTGGGCAAACATACTTGTGACATAAACTGGGTAAAGTTTACTCAGATTTTAACAGGGGTAAACTTTATCCAATTTAGTTCTGTAAAATAATAACAACAACAAAATTTGGCATCAAATTACGACCGTCAAAATGCGGCACAGAATATCAGGATAATCTAGAATTATAACAAAGTTCAAAGTTCAGAAACTAAAAATATACTTACTAACTATAGCTGCTGGTAGCTTTTGTCATCCAAACAGTTCCGTAGCTGTAACGGCTTTAGCAACAGTATTATATATTTTGAAAACAATAAACAATAAGTATTATATATTTTGATCAATGAATATAGTTTTAACGAGCCGAATGGACGATTGGCCGAATATGTTGATCAAAAAAAGGGTATCAACATGTATGTAGGCAATACATTAGAAAAAAATATATAGATTTGTCGTACTTTTTCAACAGCTGCTAGACGTACTGATGCTTTCGAGATAACACATAGAGATTTTTCAAGACTATTAGGAGGAGAAAGTTTTGTGGATTTAAGGATTTGATGTTGAATTGGAAAGGAGCGCTTGGAGTGTGAATTTTGGTTTACCAAAAATGAAGAAATTTCATATATCCCCTAAATTTCAGGTTTTACAGTTTGGGAAGAAATCAAGAAGTTACAGAAATTCCATGAAACTCAGGAATTTTCCAAAAACTTCAGCAAAGCTCCGACCTCTTCGAGGAAGATCAGAGAACTTTAAAGAAGTTTAATGATTTTTAGCAGTTTAATTATTATCATTTCATTAAACACTTGGAATATCAACTGTTTCGAGGATGATCAGAGCTATAAAGAGCAGTTCCATTAATTAATTACTGAATTTTCAATAAGGAATGAGGGGTCTTCAGGGAAGCTCCATGAATATTCGAAAAATTGTTGGAACGCTAGAGAAGTTCCGAGAACTATACAGTCGAAAAAGTAGTGTAAATTTCTTTTCAATATGGAGCGTCACATATCATACAAGTTTACATTATCAATCGTGAGTTCTGAGACATTTCATGGAATGTTGCAAATATTGTATGCCAATCTTTGTGAGCAACATTTCTTGCAAGTTGTTTACCTAAAATGAAATATTAGTTTACACGCACCAATGTAAAGTAGTGAGGTAAAGTAATAAAGTAGTAGTAAAAAGTAAAATTAAGAATGTTTTACTGTGTAAAGGAAAATAGAAAATTCAAGAACTTCTTGAAAGTTCAGAAAACTTCTGGAAAGTTTTGGTATTTTAATGATAGTTCCTTGAGCTTCAAGGAAGTATCGAAAACATTAAAAAAATGTAAGAGGTTCAGGATAGATCAAAAACTTCAGGACAGTTTGCGTCAACTTTTGAAAACCTCTGAGAAATTCAGGTCTAGAGAACATTATTAAAATTCAACGATCTTTCGGGCAGTTCCAATTACTTCAGGGAAGCTCCGAAAACTTCAGAAAATACTAGACTTTCAGGAAAGTTAATAGATCTTGAAGAATTATTCATTTTTTTCCGGTTCCAGTTCTTGAACACTGAATTAAGAAAAAGTTTTCAGTTTTAGCATCGTCAAAGTTTCGATCCAGTGAAAGTTTATTTTAACATCGTAAATATTTTGAAGCTGAACGAAAGATGGTACAACTTTATATACTCTGAAGAAGGCCAAGTTCAAAAATCGCAAGAGCACACAATTATAATTATTCCAATAGTTCAAGGAGCCGTATTAGAAAAAAAATATGAATTTATAATTTCTACCCCACTAGTAAAGTGGGTGAGCCAGTAGTGGAGGAACTGAGGCAATTTATTTATTAAAAAATAAATAAACGATGTACATAAAATTTGTATTCGTCAATCTATAGCTTTTAACCTTTGTTTTGCTAGAAAAATATTCTATTGAAAAAAAATTGCATACAGTTTTAGAAAACGCGCCCTCCATTAATAGGAAGACTGTTCCAGTAGTTGTGGCAGTTGCTAACTTTGGTTCCTATAATAGTGGAATGCTTTGGTTTCTTATAGATTCCACTATCATAGGAACACTACTGCAACTATAGGTGCAAAGGAGTGAAAATCTTAATGCAAATTAATTATTTTCCGTCATTTATGGGCTAATTTTAAGTTTGAAATATGCAATTATGCTTTATTTCAGGAGAGCTACCGATGAAAAATAATTTTATCTGGGTTTTCCAGACCGCAACTATAGATACACCTACCCTATGTCGATATGATACGCTATTTTAAAATATGGAACTTTATTACATTCAAAATGGTAAATTTTTATGTTTACTAGGCAGAAAGTTGTTAAGCAGAGTTTTTTCTTCTTTTTTATGTAAATGTATAAAGAAGAATGTTCCATTCGGCCAAACTTCCTTTTGCCAAACGATCATTCTGTGAAATGTCCGAATGTCAAACGGGGTATCGGGGAATTTATCGTATCGAACTGAAATAAATCTTAAATCGCATACCCTTACTTTCCACTCAATATCGTTTTTCGTTGCTTAATACAGTTGAATTTTGGGTGCACCATTTTTTGGTCAGTATTATATTACGGTAGCCATTTGAGACCGATCATTTTTCCTAATAGAACAAACACGTTTGAACGCTTATGTGTAATACTTATTGAAAGTTTTACTGTATGAATTACTCTTAGCTAACGCATGGTGTGCGTTCTAGGACCCTACCAACTGTATTAGTTTGGTTTTGATTGTGTTTACTGATCAGTGCACGGATTTTTAGTAGCTTATCCGATGCACGTTTTAATCCACGTTGAACTCTATGTAAGCTTACACCAACATGCTGCAGTTACAAAGAATTATACTCATGTGTAGAGAATGTACTTTTTGTTGCGCATTCAAAAGATCTGTCCCATGTGATGATTTATCCACTTTTTATAGTTTTCCCTAAATGATTTTAATTGTTTAAAGCCTACTGTGCTTTTTCAGATTTTTTCATAATTTACACCCATTTTTGAGAACATCTATTAAATCTGTGTAAGCGGATCAAACGCAAAACGAAGATCTTTCAAGATAAAAAAAAATCAAAAAGTGTGTACTTTACCTGTGACAGGTCTACTGCTTTGAATATACGTGCCCGTTGCGCTTAAAAAAAAGATAGTGCTTGCGCATTTCCTACCGAACTGGACAAATAAGCGCGTTTTCTTTTATTAAAAAGTGCCATAAAAATGTAAGTTTATGTCAAATCATTTTATTGTCTACGGTGAACTTATTCCTTATGAAATAAATGCTAAATAAATTAAATGAAGTCAACAAAACCGATTTGACGTAATCGTGCACTTTTATCACACTTTTTTTTCTTTTTTTTTATTTGGAGCGGTTCAGTTTTAGTTGTAACCCACAATAGTATATTTGATATGCAAGCAAGCATTTGTGCTAGTGGATGTCAGTAGCTTAGCTTTTTTTGAGAACCACATACTGCATAATCTATTTTCCCTAACTTGTTGCTAATTTGTATTTTTCCATCCATCCTCCCTTTTCTAATCTTTGCACCCCTAGATTCTTCCAAGGATAGCAGTCTGCAGAGTGATACCAGTATTGAGTCCGAAGATAGTTTTGCCTCTGTGATCTACATTCCCAAACCGGACCAACAGCAGCAGCAAGGGAGCGGATCGAGCGAAGGGTTTGGTCCAGGTCCAACTCGGATGCCTTCTGGGCCGACGTCCCCTCTGATAATGCCCTGTCCAACGCCGGCGCATTCACCTGCTCCACCGCGCACAAAACCAAGTCCCCCAAGCGGAACCAGTAACGGTGGGACAGGTGGCAGTGAGTTTAGCCAATTCACATTCGAGGATACTTCATTGTTTCATAAGTTTGAGGAAATTGCTTCATCTTCATCATCTGTACATAACGCATATAACACTAGTATTAAAATTCTCAAATCCCCGCCTTCAAATGCTTTGGCTAGTACGAATTCAACGACCACAATCGCTTCCAGCAGTAGCAACAACATTAGTAAGACTACAACGACTAGCAACAGCAGTGCTCACAACAATAGTAGCAAACCGCCATCGGCGACGATGACGACGACGACGACGACGACATCGGTGACTAAGCAGGTAGTTCAGAAAATAACTCGACAGCAAATCAAGGATTTGCCTCCGATTCCCAAGTTCCGCAAGAGCTATCCTATACTTCGCCGGCAAACATCTACCGGAGCTCCAGTAGTGCCAAAATTATTATCATTGGAACTATTCAACCCGGAAACCGACGACTTGGACAGTGACTCCAGTGAGCCATCCTCACCGGATTCGATCGACAGTGTGATAAGCGCGCTACGACCAGCTGTCTCACCGCAACCATCCGTAGCTCAAGAGTCGAGTCAACCCGACGCGCCTAACATTCCCCCACTTGTAGAGGCAGCGGCAGTTGTCGCACATAAGTTGGAAGACACTGTAGAGCTGGTAATACGGGAAAGCGAAGCTAAGCCAAAACTGCTCAATGGATTACCGGAATCGCAACAAACCCTAGATGGAGCGGACCTGGACGACTCGTCCTGCCGACAGCATCTAGTGGACTTTGCGGAAAAATTGAGCGCTCAGCTGTTGAAAGAACTCGACAACGAGAAGCAGCAATGCGAGAGTAGTTTCGATGATGACGATGACGTGTTCAGTGATAACAGGTTCACGAAGAAAACTCTCTCGCTGGCAGACGCCCAACCGATTACGGATCCCTATTTGAAAAAATTGAACGGTGACCTACGGGATCTGAACCAGCTTCGTGCGGAGTTGAGAGAAAGGCGACTGATGTTGGCCAACCTAAGTCATCTTGGTTCCAGCGCATTAGGTGGCAGTAATGATTCGCTTGGGCCAAGCTATGGTTCATCAATGACACCGATCATTCAGGAAGAAACGGATGATGACGAAGAGCTAAATGAGTCATGTGAAGCTGAACAGGACGATCTTGACAACTTTAATGGATTACGCGGAGCTAAGAAGAATCTCAACAAAAACGATGAGTTTGTCATCATTCCCGAACTAGACGAAGATGACGCCGATCTGACAAACGACACAGCTTTACTGATACAGGAAGAAGAAAGCACGGAAGAGCATTTTCAAAACATTGATGTAGACCCTCTAGCCAGTAACAACAGTAACAATAATAGTACGAATGATAGTCGTTTAACTAGCAGTAGTCATAGCTTACCCCTCAAAACGATAAATCTGAGTTCTACTCAGCTAGATGTAAATACCGGAAACTCACAGCACTACAGCAGAAATGAATGCACCTCCAGCAATGGTAGCAATCACAGTAGAACCACTCAAAAATCATCGGCTCCAAGAGTCACCTGTGTCGGGGAAGCAAGCGAAGCTACCAGTAACAAAAAATTGCCCGATACGAATAAATCTTCGATCGAGTCGCACACCAGCGTTGATTCCTGGGCTCATTCGACAAGTTCGGCATCACTGGATAGTCCTTCGGTGGGTGGTGCGGCAACCCATCATCGCTACTACCACGTGTTTCGCGAAGGCGAGCTAGATGCTCTGATCAACCATCACGTAGCCAGCCTGCACATTGTGTCATCCTACTATGAACGAGCTTCGTGGTGCGTGGTTGCCGAGAAGGTTCAGGTTTGGACCATCTAAGAATTGTTGCCACCCGTTTTTTTAATAGCGATAGTAATCCGAACGATAATGTTGACCCGCTTGCCATTACCTATTGAGAAATGTTCGATGCTGTTGAAATCTTCAAACATACGAGGCTTCTTATCTGTGAAACTAACTATTGAAGTTAGAAATCAATTTGAACAATTGAATATAATTAAACAATTTAGGTCAAGATAATTACGACTAAACGAGAAAAGGCTCTAAAACTGTATTATTTGTCTCTGTGATTCATATATTTAAAAACATAGGAAGTAAATAGCGATAGATGAATGAAAAGTCGAGAAATAAGTTAATTGTAATCAATGAAATAGCATCCCTTGATCATATTTATCATTTTAACAGAAGAAAAAAAAATCGACTCCTGTTCGATATTGAAAGAACATTGAAGTTTCATTGAATCAGGTAACGGTATAATTTAGATTTACTAGATAAGTTTCCAAGAATGGTTTCTTTAATTATTCAGCGATCATTCAAAATTCGATAAACGTCATAAATTATTGCTGGTACTTACGATGAATCGCTTTTAAAATATGAAAAACAAATCAAATTACATTGTGAATGTCATAATAGTATTATTTTCACGGTAAAAAAAGAGCGAAAAGTTTTGTAAACTAGCGCCCCTAGCGAGTGTCTTAGTACAAGAGAGGAATGAATTAACCACTTCATTCGAGCAGTTAAAATGACGTTTACTACCACTCGAACTTTGAAATAAAACATTATTTTGAGATATTTTCTTCTAGAACCTCGACAAAAGTAGCCAACATTTGTGCGTTTCATAAAAAAAATAGAAATTAGTTTGTCCAGTTTTGTGAAATCGCTGGTAGAAAGTCACGCCAAAACTGCTTGACAAAGTGGTCAATTCATAGCAAACTGTCTTAGCAACATATGCCTAAGTAGGAAGTTTCTAGGAACACGGCTCATGAAAACAAGATGTGCTTTGCGGACGTTGACATTTAAATAATTTGGTTCAAAAATAGAGTACGTGTAGTACACGGTAAGACAAAAGTACCCAACGGCCAGTTCACTTTTACCTACTATTGACTAGTTTGTCTCCTTTTCTCCTTCTAATGTTGTCAACAAACGGAGGAGCAAAACCACCCAACAGGGGTAGTAAAGTGTGGGAACCCAACGTTGAGTATAATCACATATACCTACTTTTGGGTACAACTAGCTTACTCTTGGGTAGAAAGCGAGTGGAAAATTCAATACGAATAGCACACAAGTAAATGCAAACTACTTTGACCCGCTTTACCTACTTTTAAGTTCCTGTACTATAGTGCCGAGATGAGTGAAAAGAACTTACTTTTGAGTACTTTTTTCTTACCGTGTAGAGTGACGACACGGCAAAATTCGAACAGCCTATTGTCTATCAACAACGGCTTGGGAAAAGTCACTCGAATCGAGCAAAAGACCTGTCTGCACGGCGAATGAGAACGACCCAAATTTGAGTTTAGTTCACTCATAATCGCCAAAAGTGCAGGAACTCAGCGATGAGTAAAATTTGTCTCATGGTTTCCTGTGGAAAACCTAAAGAATCTGCCGGCAAATGAGGAAATTGACGACAAATTTATTCAGTCTCGGAGTAGTACCAATAGACTGAGTGAATCCAATTTTTACTTTTCTCAAATTCGGGAATTTTTCCCTGGAAAATCCTTGAAAAACGTGGGAAAACATGAGGCAAATTTACTCATAGCTGAGTTCCTGCACTTTTGGCGATTATGAGTGAACTAAACTCAAATTTGGGTTGTTCTCATTCGCCGTGTAATGACTGAGACGTCATCACTTAACCTACATGGTTAGAAAAACCCAACATTAAGTTCTTTTCTCTCATCTCGGCACTATAGTGCAGGAACCCAAAAGTAGGTAAAGCGGGTCAAAGTAATTTTCATTTACTTGTGTGCAGTTCGTATGGAATTTTCCACTGGCTTTTTAACCAAAAGTAAGTTAGTTGTACCCAACAGTAGGTAAACATGATTATACCATAGAGGTAACTTTAAGACTAGAAGGTCCCGAAATAACGTGCTCAACTTTTTGGCTCACCCTATTAAAAATTGTATGGTTAATTTGCTTATCGACGTGTTCTTGGTATCATCCAAACCATTTGTGGAATAGTTCAATGATTTGGGTTATCGTTCGTTTATGGTTATTTTTTATTAGGGCAGCTTCTCTTCGGTCCCAAGCAGCTCTCTTCGGTCCCAAGCTAATCAATTCACCCCTCGAAACATAGGAAAAACCAATAACCCCTCACATTATCTGTCAAACTTTCATAGCGAATCAAAACAAACATTGCGTAGTACTAGAATTTCGACTAGAATGGGGTACGTTAATCGTTTGCTTGGGACCAATAGGCTAGTCAAGTAGTGAGCCAATTTAAAATCGTTAGTTTCGTATTGATTGTTGATTATACTCAACGTTGGGTTCCCACACTTTACTACCCCTGTTGGGTGGTTTTGCATGTCAGTTTTTGACAACATTAGTAGGAGAAAAGGAGACAAACTAGTCAAAAGTAGGTAAAAACTAAAGCCCTACAGTAAAAGTATGGACGACTGTCACCACAAAACTGAAAAAAGCTGTTCCAATCGAGCAAAGCGGTGCATTTTGACGGTTCGAATGGAACAACTTTTGACAGACGTCCATGCTTTTACTGTAGGGCTTTAACAGGCACTCTTTTCAAATCTCAACCAGTCCGCTTATCTCTAGTCCTTAACACTGGCTATGCTCTTCTATTCTAATCGCCATTTCCCATAAGAAATTTTCAGTTTGTTCTTAGGTTTTTTTTTTCAAAATTCACAATCATTGTGTGGATTCTGGTGCTACATATGCCCACTACGGATCATTCGATATTATAATGGACATCATAGCATCATATTCGGTTTGATATATATAATTAAAAATCTCGACGAGCATTGTAAAATTTAAATTGTAGAAGAATCTTACAATATATCTTATATACATTGATCTATTTTCATTGCTAACTTCCTCTTTCGTTAACAGCTAACCTGCAAAAACATTCCCTGAAGTGTTTGACGTTTTGGGCGTAATATACTCTCAGGTCTTTTTTACACGGGGGATATGTACCGTGTAAAATAAACCATCCAAGATTTTGATTTCTCGCATGTTAAAACATTTTGAAAAAATTAGATTTTAATGCCATTTATAATTATAGCATGATAGTTCATCACGCAGAAAAAAACATAGTGCAATCATACAAACTATGTTTCATGTTAAACAAAATTTTGAATAGAATATGGATCAATAAAATTGATAGATTAATTCAACAACAAAATTGAGTTGGGATAATACCACTAATTTTATTGAATTGAACATTGGATTTTATTGATTTATCAAAATGCTTGCTTGAATCAAATTGAAGCATCATTTAAAGTAATTTTCGTTTTTGTTGCATTGAAATGTTATTTTTATTGTTTCAAAACCAAATTTATTTAAATTCCCAGGTCAGATTAGCTGTCATTATAAAAAATAAACCCACATTTTTCAATTATGGTTTCAATTAAGTTACTAACTAAGCCACTGTTTGTTTATTAATTTATTAATTAATTAGTTAATTTATAATGTATTGGAAGAACGTTTTTCCCTTGGGCACCTTTCTGTACACCTTAATAAAGATAAATCAATCAATCAATCAATTCTGTACACCATGGTGTAGATTTTAATGTTATTGTTGGTGATAATTTCGAGGGTAATTTTGACAATTGTTGTGGTGCTGGTAGCGATTCTGCTGTAGATGCCGATGTTGACGCATTTCGGTGGTGCAGAGGAGGAGTTCCTGTAATGATAGAATATTAGAAAATGCCTAGGAAAATGATCATTTTACTTTTTTGCTTTTTTATTAACAATGTTATGATGTCGATACAGACTGACACTGCACTACTCACACAATCATAAAAAATATTTTTAAACAATTGTGTTGGTTTGATTTAAATGGGCTTTTTTATTGATTTGAAACTTCATTATGAACTGAAACAAATAGAAATTTCGTATTAACTAATAACAAAATATTTTATTGGTTTACGCCTCAGTGTTTTTTTCTGCGTGATATACGAGGGGGACGACTCTATCTACGATGCAGAAAAGATTTTGTTATGGTGTGGTTAGCTGCGCGCACACTGGGTAGATAGAAAGAAGATTAATGACGATTCTGAAGATTTACTGCAAAAAGATGAATTGAGATTTAGATGTGACTCGTTCAAATAGACATATGTTAAAAATTTCTGTATTTAAACCAAACAATGTGTTTTTTATTATGCCATTCAATTATCTATGGCTTGAAACAGATAATGTGATTCGAACCAAGTCGATAAATTATATCGTTATCGAAAAATCGTTAGCCAATCTTAGTCAAATTTTTCTTGGGTAGATTTTCTCGATAATTTTTTTGACTGCTGTGAGATGTAAACCAAACTTCTACAATGTCCACGAGCAACATACTTTCACCGAGCATTTTCGACAATTTTCAAGTAAAATTTCAGAAATTTTAATTTTTTTTTCGAAAAAACGACTAATGGCTCATTTGCAATGTGGGCGGAAGCGGAACGGAAACGGCAAGTTTGACAGTTGTCACAAATGACATCAAGATGCCTAACCGAAGTCGATTTGGTTCTAACTAGTTTTCAATCCGAAAAGTAGGCTACTCTGATCCGAGGGGGACGACTCTATCTACGTGTACGCTGAGTAGATAGCAAAAAGATTTATCACGATTTTGAAGATTTCCTGCAAAAAAAATGATGCGCGATGCAAGTAGATGCGAGAAATGAAAGAAGATTTTTCGAAGATTTATTCGCTAGTGTGAGATTTTTTGAGCATCTAGAATCGAGATTTAGATGTGTCGCCCCCTCGCTCTGATCGGGCTTTTCCGCTGCCGTACCGCTTCCGCTGTCATTGCGCTTGAGTCTTAAGTGCTTGTAAACAGTACAACTGAACTGTCAAAAAGGTTCAGTCGATTAAAACTGAGTTCATTTGTGACATCACGCTGCAGAACCTAATTAGGTTTTGCACCGTCGGGGTTAACCTCAATCTGATGACAGTTCAGTGGTACTGTTTACGTGGACTTAGTTGATTTTCTCTTGGGTAGATTTGCTCGATCAATTTTTAGACTGTAGTGAGATGTAAGCCAAATGTCTGCATTGTCCACGAGCAACATCCTTCCACCGCGCTGTTCGTCGACAATTTGAAAGTTAAAATTCGGAAATTTTAGATTTTTTTTTTCGAAAAGGCGACTAAGTGCTTGTAAACAGTACCACTGAAATGTCAAAAAGGTTCAGCCGATTAACACTGAGTTCATTCGTGACGTCACGCTGCAGAACCTTATTAGGCACTTAGCCGTTTTTTCGAAAAAAAAAATATTTTAAAATTTACGAATTTTAACTTGAACATTGTCGAGGAAATGCTCGGTGAAAGGATGTTGCTCCTGAACATTACAGAAGTGTGGTTTACATCTCACTGCAGTCTGAAAAATTATCGAGAAAATCTACCCAAGAAAAAATTGACTAAGTCCACGTAAACAGTATCACTGAACTGTCATCTGATTGAGTTTAACTCCGGCGGTGCACAGAGATGAACTAGCCTATGGCTAAAAATCTCTTAAATAAAGATAAAAAAAACCGGCGGTGCAAAACCTAATTAGGTTCTGCAGCGTGACGTCACGAATGAACTCAGCGTTAATCGGCTGAACCTTTTTGACATTTCAGTGGTACTGTTTACAAACACTTAGTCGTTTTTTTTTAGATTTTAAAATTTCCGACTTTTAACTTAAAATTTGTTGAGGAACAGCGCGGTGAAAGGATGTTGCTTGTGGACATTACAGAAGTGTGGTTTACATCTCGCTGCAGTCAGAAAAATTATCGACAAAATCTACTCAAGAAAAATTTGACTAAGTCGATGTAAACAGTACCACTGAACTGATCTGATTGAGGTTAACCCCGACGGTGCAAAACCTTATACTCAGAGGCTGCTTGATTGATCAAATAATGTTGTTATATCAACATTTAAATTCAGGCAGGTAGTTGATCAATATGTTAAGCTTGTCTTAGGCAGTGTCTCAATCGCCGAATTAAATTTAGCTCGTGGTTAAAAAGGACATTTTGAAAGTTATTTTCAATGTTCGAAAATCCCGGTGTTATCGATCGATCGGTTTTCAAACAGAACTCACCCATGGATGCCAAAATTTAACTTCTAGTCCATCAAAAATAACCACGTTCGGATAGCAGGGTTATTTGATAACTTTCTATCTGTCAATTTTAACCACGATTTTAATTTATCTCGCCAATTGACACATAGCCTTAGGCCATTTGGTGATTTTTTACTTAAATTTGACAATTCGAAAATAAATTATTATGTTCGAAAATCCATCTGCATCACTGGTCGTGAGCGTTAGTGAACTGCATTGGCGTAAATAGAGGGGGGCCGGGGGCCCCCAGGCTTTGGGTTATCCCCCCCAGAAAATTTCAGAAATAAATACCGGAGCAATTTATTTTCCAGATTATTCAGAATAAATTTTGCTGTGATTTTAAATTGCTTAATATATTGCATATTCATGGTTGATAATTGGTTCTCATCTTTTATTTATTGTTTCGTTGATTCCCTTTAGTGTAGAAACGTTATGCCTTGATGACGCTTGGTGCAGTAACTAACTTTTTAAATTGCCATACCGTTACTGCAACTTCACTCTTCATAGACTTCTCTGACACCGTTGGTATTAGTGAGTAAAAAAAACCCGCTGTCGGGTCAGACACTTTGACAGTTGATTTTGTGGTTTAAAAAATAAACAAAACCATTTTTACTCTGTTAGACTAGCACAATTGTGTTAGTGAGATCTCGCGGCAAGAAGTCTATGTCATCCAATGACGTTTATATAAGGTTCGGGCAAATAGGCAGCTTGCTGATGTTAGAAGCAAAAATATTGTAAGTAATCTCCCTCCCCATACTAGCGATGGTTTATGTCTTGTCAGCTAGGGACATGGCCCCCTCCAACCCAATATGGTAGTTACGCCTCTGGTGAGCTGCGATGCGAAGTTTTACTTCACGGTAACCTCAAAATACCCAATAATCACTACAAAGTAAGCAGTTTTAAGGGAAACTGGAACTACCAATTAAATGAGAAATTTTTTACGCATTTATGAGTAATGACAATTACAAAAATAAGTAGTAAGTCTTCATTTGTGAGTAGCAAATAATCATAAAATGGGTATTTTTTTTACTAATTTAATAGGTTTTCCCTCTAAAATGCTTACTTTGTAGCACATAACATATGTGGAACTCGACAATCAAAAATCGACCCCATTTCAGTGATTTCAAGCGGTATAGAAAGGCATCGATCTGTCAAATTGATTATACCAGCTGTAAAATGAGAAAGGGGATCAAGGGGGTAGTCTATTAAAATAATGATAGCGTGGTTTATAATTCTCTGTCTTCTTAGAACTTTTGAACTTATGTCTTGGTTTTTCCTTAACTATTTACGTCCTCTATAACTATATAGCTACCTCCGCATCT